TTTTAGAAAAAAGACAGCATATAAAGAAAAATACTGCTGAAAATATTTCAAATTATGGTAAAAAAAGTGGTAAAAAAAATGCTAAAACAACAAGTAAGTAAAGTAAGGTTGTTATGATAATATGTTTTCATAATGATAACTGTCAACAAAATTATATAATTTATTATAATTTACTAGATGATAATCAAGACAAAATTTTTACACCAACGACCCTAATCGCATCACCAACTATTGATGAGCAACATTTCTCTCAACCAACGATCCTGATCGCATTACCAACTATTGATAAGCAACATTCCTCTCAACCAACGACACCAATTGTGCCATCAATTATTGATGAGCAACATTCCTCTCGACCGACGACACCAATTATACCATCAATTATCGATGAGCAACATTTCTCTCGACCGATGATACCAATTATACCACTACATATTATTATCGATCTTGAGCAAATACTAGATGACAATAATCAATCGGATAACTGATCACAAATGAAACACAATAAAGGTAATAGACATGAAAACCCCATAAAACAAATAGAATCAATATTAGTAAAGCAGGAAAAACAAATCCGTGCATTATACGAATTACATAAATCAACAAATGAAAAAGTTTTATGGATTCAAAGTCAATTGAAGAAGCAAAATAACAAGAATAAAAACATTGATCTAAGCCAAAAAGTATTCAATGTAAGTAATTTTATTTAAATAATTATCATAATTTTTATTAACTATTTAACTATTTATCGTTATATACTGATAAAATATAGGAAGGTTGTAGTGCTATATGTACAGGATTGTTCCCAGAAAACATGTAGCCTGATTTTAATGAACTTAAGCGTGAAACAGAAAATTGGATTAGATCAAGACACCCAAATTACCTTGAAGAGCTTGGTGAATGAGAATGGACGAACAACTTTGCTGGAAAGTATCACAGCATGGTAATTATCATTAATTATCGAAATATTTAATTTAAAAATTTTTAATTTTTATTAATTGATTTTTATTATTTAAAGCTTTTGCGTAAGATGAAAGATTTAAGAGGAATTCACGCCACGGCAGTTCAAAATGCGATTTGTAAGGAATTTGGTCTCCAAGTTATAACAGCCAGACAAAAGAATTTAAATAATATATTAGAATGGAAAAAGTCCAAAAAAGTTCTGGAGTGTTATAATAAGTTATATGACGATGATGATAATGCGATAGAACATATCGCTAAATATGCATTTCCTTCTATTCCTAATAATGATAAATCATTTGACGATATTTATATCTATACAGCAGCTGTGTGTGACATAGTGTTAAATCCGGATTACCCTGACATCAAATGCACTAAAAAGCCTTTAGAACGATGATTTCAAAGATTCAAGGTATTTTTTTTTTGTTAATTTGTTAATCATTAAAAATTAATCTATCAAAGTTTATCAATTATAATTTAAATCAATATTTTAGCAATCATTTGTGAACAATGGATCCATCGAACTTGGTGATTCTTTATTAATATTACAAGAAGAAATTCTGGAACTTGCAACAAAGTACAAGAAGAGAAATGAAGATGAAGAAGATGTGGAAGAAGATGTGTCTGGAGCTGGAGACGAACAAAGTTTTGATCATTTATTTGAAGAAGACTAATAGCGGTAATTATTTTAATTTAAGTATTCGTTATTTTCTTATATTAGTAGTTAATTAGTAAATTAATTATCAGAATTTTTATTAATTTTCAGGTGAAAAAAAAGAAACGTTTTACTTCGTTATTAAAAATAATTATTGTTGTTGATAGTGACAGTTTGTTATTTGTATTATTATTATTAGGAAATTGCTTATTATTAAATAAATATAATTTACTGCAAAATATCTAACGTTTATAAATGTAATGGTTATTTTTTGATATTTATTGTTTAGGTTATTTTTCAATGTTTTATCATTTAAATTATTTTTCGATGTTTATCGTTCAGGTTAAATTTTGGATAATTATCATTTAGGTTAATTTCGATCATTATTATTCAGATTATTTTCGATATTTTATCACTGTTTATCTATATCAATACTACTCGACGAGTCCGATTATTATCGATATATGTTATGTGACTTTTTATCGACATATATCCTCCTGAAAAATTTCCTGATGTACTTAATTTCTAAAATGTGTTCCTCGGTCAGAAAGTATATAATTTGGACATCCATGTTGGCAAATTATATTTTTATAAATAAATTCTATGACTGTTTTTGCATCATTTGCTGGAGTTGCACTTGCTTCAGGCCATTTGGTTAAATAATCAGTAGCCATGATTATATAACGGTTTCCTTTGTTAGTCAATAGTAATGGTCCTACAAAATCTATTCCTATTTTCTCAAAGGACTTTCCTACTGATATTGGGTGTAAAAGAGTACTGTTTTTTGAGGGCTTCCCTCTTCTTTAACAAGAGTCACAGGCTTTAATATAATTTCTAATGTCTTCAAACATTTGCAGCCAATAATAATTTTCTCTAATTTTTTCAAAGACATTTTCTATTTCTAAGTATCCACCGGTAGGATGATTGTGTGTTGCAAAGAGTATTGTTTCTGTTTCATTTGTTTTCAGTACTTTAAGATAGCTTTTAGGGTTTTTCTTATTTCTTTTATAAAGTTAATTTTCTAAAATAATAAAATGTTTTGACTGTCTGATAATTTGTTCAGCTAATTTCTTATCACTTGGTAAATTTGATGTAATTAAATAATGTTTAAGTTGATTATATCGATTTTCTTCCATTTTTAAAACTTGAGCTATCAATCACAATATTGACACTTTTGCTTTCACTCTGTTATTTCATTGGTGGTAAATTAAATTTATTGGAGCATAGCGAACAATTGTGCATAAGCATTTTCTTATTAGACAAGTAAAGGTTCAGTCCACCATAAGTCATTAGTTAAATAGTTAGGGTTCATGTCAGGATGAATTTTACCACGTTCAAATCCAATAATACAATCATGAAGAATGATTCCATAAGGTAATTTGCGTTTGCATGCCTTGCAGTACGTGTGAATGTGATGATTTTCAACATCACAAAAGTCAGTGCATTTAGAGCCTCCTTTGGTAATTGGTTGGTTTGCAATTACTTATTTGATTTTAATATTTTCCTTGTAAATTTTGATCATTTCGTCCTTTGAACATTGATATCCAATAGTAATCAATAAGTGATTTTCAAATTGATTCCTCAATTCTTGCTCAAAATAAGATTCACTATCGTCTTCTTTCATGCTATTTTCTGGTGAAGAGATATGCCATTGGATTTCTTTTTCTTCTGATTCATTAAAGCTTTCATCAGTTTGTATAGAAATCATATAAGTTTCCATAATTTTATCAGAAACTTCATTATTATCAGGATCAATTCTGAATAAGATGTCAGCATTTGCATTGTTTTTTCCTGAACGGTGTTGAACTTAAAATGTATACTGCTGAAGATTTAGTAACTATCTAGCTCTTTTGGTTCAATTTTTTACAGTTGAAGTTTGTAACCATTTCAATGCTGCATCATCAGTTACTAAAATAAAGGGTTTCAAGGAAGTGTAGTGATGAAAATATTCAACTGCCCAGTTGATCGCTAAGCATTCTAATTCTTGGACGCTATAATTTTGTTCATGTATATTAAGGGTTCTACTTGCATAGGCAATTACTTTCTCTTTTCCTTGATCGTCCTTTTGCGCAAACACAGCTTCTAATCCAATTCCTGAAGCGTCAGTGAATAGATAAAACATTTTATCAAAGTCTGGATATCCTAGTATTGGAGCTTGCGTCAGTTTTTCTTTTAAAGTTTCAAATGCATTTTGACATTCTTTAGTCCAGTCATATTCCACTCTTTTCTTCGTCAAGTTATTCAAAGGTTTAGCAATTTTCGAGAAATCCTTGATAAATTTTCGGTAATATAATGCTAATCTAAGAAATCCTTTAATTTGTCTCATATTCTTTGGTACAGGAAACTCTTAAATTTTCTCTATTTTCTGGAAGTCTGGTAAGATTCCATATTCATTAATTTTATGTCCTAGGAATCGTAATTCTCTTTTGAATATTTCATATTTCTCTTTATTCAATACTAAATTCGCTTTTCTCAGTTTATGAAAGAGCATTTGAAGGTGTCCACAATGTTCTTCAAAACTGTTTGAGTAAACAATAATATCATCAATGAAGACTGCTACAAATCAGTCAATGTATTCTTCTAATACTTTATTCATCGTTTTCTGAAAGGTTGCTAGAGCATTGCATAAACCAAAAGGTATAACATTAAATTCATAATGTCCTCCTTTAATCATGAATGCAGTTTTCTCTCTATCCTTAGGATTCATTTCGATTTGCCAAAATCCACTGGCTAGGTCGAATGTTGAAAACTATTTCGCTCCATTTAAATTTTCTAAGATTTCATCAATTCTTGGCAAGGGATAGGCATCTTCTCTCGTGAGTTTGTTGAGTCCTCTATAGTCAATACATAATCTTTTCTTTCCATTTGCTTTCTTTATAAGAATTGTAGGTGATGCCCATGGACTATCAGATGCTTGAATGATTCCTTCATATAGCATCTTCTTAATTTCTCTATCGATAAATTCCTGTTCTTCCTTTGTCGTTTGATAATAATTTTTTCTAATTGGATCGGCATTACTTATATCAATTTTATGTCGAGCTACATTAGTTCTTCCAACTCTAGTTGATTGTCCGGTCTCAGAAATGTTAGTGACAAATCTGTCTTTATTTTCCTCCATCAGAATGTCAATTTCCTTTCGTTGCTTTGGAGTTACTACTTCCTCTTTTATTATTTCAGTTTGCATAGTTTCTGCAAGACTATTAGGCAGATTATTCCATACAATTCGGTCTAATATTTCATTGATAAATGTCATGTGGGTTGGAGTAGTTTTTCCTTGTTTAGCTATCTCTTCATATTTCAAGAAGCTAATACAAATCCAAGGTCCATTTTTGTCTTTCTCAGTCTGTTGCAATTTAGTTCCTTTAGGGATCTTTATTACGTATACATTGTAATTGAATTCTAGATCGTTGAATAAGTATTCTAAGTCTTCTTCCTTGACCTTTATTCCAGTTTCTTTCTCAGTTTCTCGTATTGCTGCTTTTATTAGATTTTCATTTCCTTCTATTTTTCCTCCAGGAGATTGCCACATTCTATACATGACTTCTCCTTTTCTGATTGAGAGAAATATACTGTCTTTATCATACAGTATGTTGAGTACATATTTAGGATGATTAACTTCTTCTTCATATGTTTCTACTTCATCAGGCCAAGATTGATTTGAATTCTTCTCCCAAGTTTCATTTCAAAGGTCGGTATCTTCTTCTTGTTCTTCAATCTCGACAATGTAGCTATCTGTTTCTTCTTCGTCGTCATATTCTAACCCTTGTTCAATCATTTCATCAAGTTCATCCTCAATAGTTACAGCTCTAATTCTTTTTCCAACTACACATTGTACTGAAACTATAGCTTTATCCAATCCAGAGGTGAGAATCATTTCATTATTTTCAAAGTCAACATTAACTTTATTTTTCTTACACCAATCGATTCCTAGTAATAAGGTTTGATCAGTCGAGTCAATGACTTGAAATGTCGTCTTAATAAGAATTCCTTGAATGATTAATAGCACATTTTTAATTGTTTCTGGTGTTCTTTCTCTCTGTCCATTTGCAGTAATAATGATTATTTATGAGAGTTCATCAATGTCTAATCCAAGTTTCTTCATCAATTTATGCGTCATAATGCTTATTGCAGCTCCTGTGTCAATAATAGCAGTTACTGGATTTTTCTTAATTTTAACATGACATCTTAATGCCATAGTTCGTTCTTCTTCTTCTGGAGTACTAGTAAATGCTGCATTTCCTTCTATCTTAGGTCTTCTCATTCCTTGAAGGAGTTTTTGTTACTGTAACCTAAATTGCATCATTTGTCACATATTAACATTGGCTTTAATGTTTACAAGGTCATCCCATATGTTATAAGGTTCAATATTATCTAAAAGCGATGGTCCTTTAGGTATTCTCTTCCTAGGCTTAGTAGTATTGTCTACCACTGTTTGAGGTATTTGTTCAGTTATCCTTGGTTCATTAATTGTCTGAGATTGAGTTCGTCTGGTATTAGTTTCTCTTTGCGATTTAGATCTTTTTCTCCTAATCGCTGGAAAGACTTCTTATTCAAGCATGTTTACTTCCTTTCTATTTTGATCATCATATCTGGTTCTCCAGTTCTCTTATGGTAGAACTTTCTCTGAAAGACATCTTCTGGCTATATGACCTTTTTCTCCACATCTGAAACAGATTAATTCTTTCCTTGGTTTGCCTTCAGGATTGTAACTTTTTCTTTTAACTGGATTAATAGTTAATGCAGCCATAATGTTTACTTAGTTTAAAGCCATTTGTTCAAATTGTTTAAACAGTTTTTTAATGTCATCTTCAACTTTTGGCTTGCTAAAGTCATGTTCTGTTGTATAATATCTTCCAGCTTCAACAGTTTTAGCTTGAGTAATAGCAGCATCTAAATTAGCTGGGTTATGAATTGTGACTAAGGTTGCTAATTCCTTATTTAATCCACTCAAGAACATTCGTACTTTGAAGGCATCTGGGATTCCTTCCGCATCTACTCTATTTGCTAGCTACTTAAATCTAGATGCATAAGTTTTAACTTTTTCATTTCCTTGTTTCAGATTCATCAATTCATATTGCCATCTGTGTAATTTCTCTTGCAATGAGAAGCGTGCTAAAAATCTTTCTCTAAATCCTGCGTTTGCATCTCCGTCCCATCTGGTAATTGTATTGCTTACCAAATTATACCAGTCAGCTGCTTCTTCTCTTAGCATTCCTGCTGCGATTGCTACTCTTCTATTGTCTGGCCATCCATTAGCTTTTTTTGCCCTTAAGAACATTTCAATCCATTCTTGAACATCTTCGCTATCTTTTCCATAGAAAGGATCGACTTTTACAATAGAACTTCCTGCCGCAGGTGGTGCTGGGATATTGATACCATTAAATCCATTAGTCATACTAGTTGTAATCTGCGTTATCAATGCAGTGAGTTTGTCTGCTGTCATAGCCATGTTTGCAAGATTTAGTGGAGGGTTATTCCGTTACTAAAGTGATTAGTGTTATGTGAGGTGATAAGAATATGTTGATATATTACTTCTGGTTCAAAATAACATGTAAATCTAAGGCTAAATACTAAAGATATTGCTACTTTTGCTGCTTGTTCAGTGTCAAGACTATGAGGATTATTAACGTCAAAATACTGTCCTATTTCTTCAAAATATTGTTCACTTAAAGATGAATATGTATATGCACGATACTGTTGATGAATCTACTGATAGAATCTTTGAAATTGGATACTTGGGTTTCCAGATGGTCGATGACAGATTCTACAAGACTTATCAAAAGATTTTATAAGGTATGTTCGTCCTAAATATTTGAAGTGGTCATCTGAATGTTATTTTCTTATTTTACTGTATAGGTCACAATTCATGTACTAGTAGAAATTTCTAAGATAATCTAATAAGTCTCTTCTGATTTCTAATAGATTGTTCCTGTCTTTATGTAAGTCGAATAAGTAGTTGTTGAGAGCTTTTAGTCCTTTCTTAATTTCCTGTTTGACTAGATAGATTATGTCGAGTGATAATTTACTTCTTTTATGAGTAACTAATCTTCTAATTCCTCCTCTAACGTCAGGATAGATATAAATATAACTAAAAAATTCTGTGAGGGTATTCAATTGTTGTTGTAATTCTCTGGTCACTAAAAAGATTTCAATGTCAATTTCTTCCAAGTGGTTGGTTGTATTGTTGATATTCTTTTCTAATCTTAACAATTCTTGAATACTCATGTAAATTGTACTGAATTATTATTTTCGATCCTTATAAGAAGCACTAAAATGTCACGATGGTTGGTTGACTTCAAATAAAATCTCAAAAAGGTTAAATAAAACTAAGACAATTACTCAAGAAATCACAGATGAGAATTCACAATAACGTCGAAGGATTATTCACAATATAAATCATGTGAGATATACACAAAATAAATACAAAGATAACTCAAAGATATTTCAGAGATTACGCTTTAGAGACTCTAAGTCAATATAGTGAATCAATATAATATCATATAATAAGTTTACTAACAAAAGGGATTGCACGAATGCAAAGGGTCACAGATAATTTATAACAGTTTTAAAGGGTTTGCGAAGGATAAGTTTTATACTTGGTTAATTATACTTCTTTATTAATGTAATATATAAGTTCAGTACCTAAATGATTAACATCTCGTCAGTGCTGAGACTAAAAGAAAATACAGATATATTTATATATGTTAAATAAATAATAAA